CTTGTATTCTAACCCAGAGCACTTCAGTGTGCCCCTTCTCTGACCCCGTGCTACTCGTTGAGGATGTGTATTTCTCCTTGACGTAGAGCGCCACACTCCCACCTTTCCTCCCTGTCCTATCCCTCCTTTAAAGCCTATAGCCCTTGATATTCACCGCCCAGTCATGCATTGGGTCCCACCACATTTTGGTGAGCCCCACTATGTCTGGGTTGATGTCAACTAGCAGGAGGGTAAGTTCCTCCTGCTTGTTCTCCATACTACGAGCATTTTTGTAGAGGCATTTGAGGCCTCCTGAAGATGTGTGCACGGGCCCCCTAATCTCAGTCCTACCCGAGCCCCTGTTGCTTACCTGGGTATTTGTTCTGCTCGTCGTCAGTCTAGGCTGGGCTGTTCTTGTGGGTGACACTTGGTTTAGTGGTCCAAGGTTTCCTCCACCCTCGTCTTCCCCTTCCCCCGACAAGCCTAGTTTAAAGCCCACCAGAGGATCAGCCAACCTAGAAGAGAACACATGCTTACCTTTGGGGGAAAGGTGAAGCCCATCCCACCTGAGCATGTCTCTCATCCTGATGTGTGGGTCATTGTCTAGGAAGCTGAAGCCTGTCTCAAGACACCATTCCCGAAACCACAAGTTGACCTCTCTGATGCAGGTCTCGTGTCATCTTCCACATCCACTTACTGGTAGGACAGAAGAAAATACCACCTGTGCCCCTATCTCCTTCAGCATGCCCCCCAGAATGTGGTAGTCCATCATCAGGTGATCAGGGCTTCTCCTGAATAGTTCCATGCATAAACCACTAGAGTTAATTTTTCTCCTCTACTCAGCACTCATGATGCCTCAGCTAAATAGCGCATGCAGTTGTAGATACGTACAAACTAGAGGAACTCCAAAAGAGAGCAATAAAAATGACAAGATATTTAGAGAAGATTGAAAAAAACTGGATTCATTTAGTCTAGAGGAAAGGCTATGAAAAGAAGGCTATGAAAACAGCCTTGTATAAGACGCTGTTATAAAAAGGATAGTGATTAATTTTTTTCTGCCTAAAGCAGGATGAGCAGCTAGTTTAATTTTCAACAAGGGATTTGTTGCAAGATAGATATGAAAGATTTTTTCTCTTTCTTTTTAACTATGAGGATTGTTATAGTTTATCAACAAAGGCTGAAGAAACCTTAGCATTGATAAATGCACACAAAATAAAATACTCCATTACATACAGACAGGCAAATAGGCATTCTAGTTCAAATATGCCCAGTCACTTGTTAAGATGTTCACTTGCTGTGCTTCTGGAAATAAAACCATCTACCCAAACCCAAACTTTCATCTAAACAAAACTCAATTACATTAATGATCTCAGAAAGTAAATTATAACTTTTGCCACATTAAGAGAATCAAATTAGATATTTTCTCATTCGACACCCAACTCTAGTTATTTGCTTGCATCAGCAATAGAACCAAGGCCAGATTTTTTAAAATATTTTGATTGGTAAATCCTGTAACAGCCAATAGAAGTTGGGTTGCCCAACCCCTTTAAAAATCTGTCACCCAGTTCAAACTGTGGAATATAACAAGTCAATAACTACCTATATGTTAATATCTAGTACCTATACAAATAAAAAGATGTACATTGGCTATGCACTGGTGACCAAATCATATTTTACTCACGGCAGCTATTTGTAACTAACCCACATGAGAAGACTTAAAAATATCAATTTGGAGCCCAATTTGAAGTTTGGGTTAGCCTTGACTTGATTTGTTTTGATTTCCAAAAGCTCACATTTACTGCCTATTTTCAAAAGTGACTCAGGCATTTAGACTCCTAGGCCTTAAGAGCTGGGAAAGGGAGGCTTGTTCAATATCGTTTGGAATTGTTCTAAAATAAATTCCCTTTGAATGAAACCTTTGAAAAAGAGTGAGAATATTTTGGATGATGCAATTTCAAAACATGCAACTGTTCTATTAAGTGTTCTGGTTATGCCATAAAATTATAATTTAGAACACGTTTCATTTGTCATTCATGTATTCAAAATATAGCAGACTTGGGTAGAATGAATTTATCTAAATGAAAAGAATAAGTCTTTTCATGAAAATGCAATATTTCAGGAATTAGAAAGCAAAATCTAATCATGGGGAAAGGAAGCAGAACAGGAGTTTAGAGTACTTACTTGCTAGATGAGAAGCAAATACAGAAAACAAGAGCTAGTTGCAAAATGGCCACTTAGAGTTCTAACTACTGACCAATTTTAAGGAGTAAATCTCACAACTACATGCTGGGAAAATGTTTCTGTAAGAGGGCAACTGTGTAGCTGGGAGTCTTAGTATGGGCAGTTCAAGGTACATTTGAAGCATCTTACAAGGTAAAGGTCTTGCAAAATCCAGTGGGAAAAGAATGCTCTGTAGCTGAAAATCTGTCACTCAGCATCACTCGGCCCCTCATCCCTCCCCAACCCAGGTATAGGGTTACAGAGACTTCAGTTCCAGAGGCAGGTATGCAACCAGAAAACGTTACAACTTATCTTTTTCCCCCACCTCCAAGTAACCCTGAGAATCTGGGTCTGCTGTCATTCTCAGTTCAGCATTTCTCCATGCTTCAGAGCATCTGATCAAGTACCTGCCTGACCCTAGCAGTATGGAGTGCTGCTAGCTAGCACTAGCCAATAATGACTAAGGATCTAGAGTACATTCTACATTCTTTCATTGGATACACCTGCAAAACTCTAATTCCTGCTAATAGGTGTTTAAGGTGCATCTGGATAACCTAGCACACTTCTGAATGTTCTGAGTTACCAATCTTCAAAGAATGTATTTACATGAAAAGGTGCATTTTATTTATTTATATCAATGTATGTTTAATGTGGAGCATTTTAAATCTGATGTATACATTGAAACCATCATATGGTGTACATTGCAATTTTATTTTTCTTGTAAACTACAATCTCACAGCTTTTCAGTCAGTTCAGGATTCTCTTCAAAAAGTGACATGCTGCTACTAACATTCAATTGTCACTTCTATCACCTTTGAATCATGAGTCTGTGCATAAATCAGCTTAGAACTTTGGACAGCCATTTTTTTTTTTATTTGCCAGCTTTCAAATTATTCCACACTGAAGGAGTTACATGGTCTGAGCTGCCCATGCGGTCATGAACAGGACAAACTTGTTCCTGCCGGAAGAGTTCTGCATCATTCCTCAGGCTCTCCTCCAAGTTTCCTCCCTCCAGTGTAAACTCAGCCTGTTCTGCGGCTACACCCAGGGCATTCTCATCCAGAGTATGATGCTGGCTTCATTCTGCAGTCTCCTCTCTGTGAAAGCTGACAGATCCTGTAGAATCTGTCTGACACTCAACAACATTCATCTCCTTCCTTCACTAAGGCACTGGGGTCAGAGCCCTGCCACTGTGGGTTACTACAACAGATACCTGGGGTATCATATTCACATCTACCTACCTTACAAGGGATTTCTGTATCCTCTTCTCCAGCATGACACTAGCTGCAAGGAGAGGAATTGCTACTTATCCACCCAGAATGGGATTCTGTCCTCCCATACAAGTGTTGTTGCTTTCTTCCTAGGGACACAAACCTCCTCTCTGCCTGCCTCCTAGACATAGAAATCTGGATTCCTGCATCCTCATGCTCCAACCAAACCCTGCCATTAACCCTGACTTACTTAACCTGGTCCAGTCTATCTGGAAATGACTTCTGTGGAACATGCTTAGCAAGGGTCTCTCCTGATTCCCTCTTGGGCTCCAAAACCCCCTCAACTACAACTACCCTCTGGGACTGGGATCTATCCTCTCTCTCCAGCAACTTGGCACTCTGAGCTTTCAAGTGTTCAGTGGGTCCACATTTGAAACATCCTGAGAACTGCTTTTCTCTGAGGGTTTTCTATTGAACTTGGGAATGTCCAGCATCATTTGAATGCTTGGGCTTATCCTTAACCTTCCCCCTATCCCCAAAGATGAATGTTAGTAAAGGTGTCAGGGACTAACAGATAGACTCTGCAGGGGCTGTCAGCTCTCAGGGAAGGGAGACTGCAGGTGATGGCGTTTAAATAAAATAGGTCTGATTATATTATGTAAGCAACATATCCTTTCCATATTGTGCCATGAACAAAACAAAATAGTAACAGCAAAAGATTTATTTAAACCTAGAGGCTCATCATTACTGGAACTATTAAAATGTACATATTAAGATATACATGGTATAATTAATTTTAATAAGTATTCAAATATTCCCCATATCAAAAGATGACACTGCTCAAAGTCTTTTGGTAAAATTTCCTTTGGAAGAGCCCAATTTTGTGGGGTGATAGTTGGGTCTTTACAGGAAGAAATTGACCCAGGAACTCCAAAGGAGCCACTCCTTGCTAGCACAGCCAGGCTTCTCTTGGGCCTTACTCAGACAAGCAACACCATTGGTTTCACTAAAGCCATTTGCAAAAGGAGAGTAAGGAAAAGGATTTGGCATTGGTTGTCCACAGCAAAATGATACCCAAGGGGCGCATCTACATGAGATGTTTACTGTGGAGCTAACTAGCTCTGCAGCAGATGTCTCAGTGTCTACACATGAGGCCCTATTAGGCTTTAAGAATTAATTCTGCAGCAGGAGGGTATTTTTGTAAATACAAGTACTATCCTGCTGTGGAGTTATTTTACTCTGCACCAGCACACGTGTAGATGCTGATCCAGCTTCCTGGAGCACAAGGGTGCAGGGGCTGCCTGTCAGTTAGCCCTGCATTGGAGCACCCTCATGGCCCAGTCAGCCCCTCCGTAGCACAATGAACCAAGTCAGAGCAGCCCAGGCTGGCAGGCTGAGCCACCAGACCCCCTGCCAGCTGGGGCTGCTCCAACCCGGCTCAATGTGCTATAGGCCCTGGTGCACACGTAAACACAGCACCTGGGAGCAATGAACTCCAGCGCAGTATGTGCTGGAATTTATTGCTTCACATTAATATGCATATGTAGATGCACCCAAGGTGTACATCAATCCAATGTGCTTTTTATGATATTGGTGTACATATATAGGGTTTAATGAATTATTTTTCAGTATTTCATGTTTTCTCATCATTTTAAAATATCTTTACTCAACATATGTTTTAATAGGTTTAATGAGACGCTGCAATTTAAGTACAATACATATCACTACACAAAGTATAATGACACAGATATACATATAAAGATAACTTTTTTCTTTCCTTTTTTTTTTTACAATTCAGGTAGCATGAAATTTCACATGATACATTTATTCACACAACAGAATGCAAATAAGCTTCAGCCACTGGTCAAATATCTCAAAAACGTATAGACCAACCTTATTCTGCAACTGCTTGCACAAAATTCTCACCCCACGGGATGAATAATCATGTCATAGGCATATTTGTGTCACATCCTGTACAGTAAGGAGGCCAAAATGAGCACTGGCACAGTACCACAAATTTCAATAAACTGTGGGCATGTCTACATGTGCATTAACTTGCTTTAGTTAATGTGCATTAAATTTAGTACCTCCATGGTGAAATACTAAGAAAATGCACATTAACCTGTCTTAATAAGCATTAACTGAAATGCACGGGGCATTTATACATGTGCTCCCTGGAGGGATGCTTTAAGTACAGTGCCCAGACCATCTCATGTTTCAGCGTCCCTTCACTTCAAAATGGTGGCAGGGGCGCTTTATCTAAAGTTTATCAAACAAGCTTTATTGAATGAGCTCAGTGAATGAGTTTTAAAGAGCCCCCACTGCCATTTTGAAGCTTGAGGATGCTGATACGAGACACAGGAAGCTTCAGGAGTGTGGTAATTCCCACTCTCCCACAGACTTGATTAATTGAGTCTGCTTCGATGTGCTGGAATTGCAGCACCTTAGAGTAACCTCCCTGCTCCTGTATAGGCACCTATGGTTTTTAAATGATGCTTAATGTGCCTTAGCCTGTTTTAATACAAATTAACTAAACAGCACTTTTTTAGTGACGCTTTAATATGCATTAAAATAAGCTAATGTGCATTAAAGCACGTGTATAGGCGCACCCTCTACAATGACAATCAAAACAGTGCAAATAACCAACTGCTTAGGTTTGGTGACTGAACTGAAAAAAAATCAAAATATTTTTTGCCTAGATCTACTGAGAATTTGCAAATGTGGAGCAATTATTTGAAATAAAGTAGGTTACATTCAATACTGTAATTTTCCATTCAAAAGCAGCACATTATTAGAAACTCTATACTACTTTTGTTTTGGTTCTAAGCATAATACAAACACAAAGATCAAAGCTTCTTCTCCCTACCACTCGCCTTGCTTTTTTTAACAGAATATGAATAGGCATGATCAATTATATTATGATGACAGACTCAATTGCTTAGGAATTGCTTTCTTATCTTTGCTTAGTTATATTCATTTCTAAGTCAAGGTTAATTGTCTTTGTATCTAAAGAGGTCACTTATAACTCTTGAGGTATCCTGCCTTTTGCTGAAAAAATATAAGAAAGACAGTATCTTTCAATTACTTGGGAAAAGTTATTTTTGAGTTTCTGTAGCTTGATGTAGTATACCTTCTACCTTAAGGCAACACTTAGAATTGCCTTAGTTTTGAATCAACAGCTATATTTCTACTTTTAAGATCAGGCAGAAGATAGGACCTGATTTCTGCCTGAATAACATGGCTTACCACCTCTGTGTTCCTTTAAAACCATAATGGCTGTGTAGTATCACGATAGCTTGCCCTTGAAGAAAAACTGTGCATTATAGCAATAAAGTCAAAGGTCAACCAAACACACTTACACATTACCAAAATCTCCTCAGGCCTGATCCTGCTCTCAATGAACACAAAAGGTACCTATACATGAATCGTGGAGTGTGGTAATTACCATGCTCCAGCCAGCCTCCTTATCTCATGTATCAGCATCTCTGCACTTCAAAATGGCAGCAGGGGCACTTTATCTAAAGCTTGTTTGATGAGCTTTAGATAAAGGACCCCGCCGCCATTTTGAAGCGTGGTGACATTGACACACGAGATGCTCCAGGCACTTTATTTAGAGCAGCTCTCGGAGCATGTGTGTAGATACCCAAAGGAGATTTTGCCCCGTTCATTTAAATGGGGATAAGATAGGATCAGGCCATATGAGAACAAAATTAATGTATACAACTAATGTTATTAAAATGATTCCCACTGCATGACTAATATTTGGCATGTAATCATTTGCAATTATTATCTTTAATTAAATGATGCAAGAATTATTATTATGGTATTGATTTTCATAATGCAGAACTAAAGGTTATGTTATACTTTGATATCAAATTTGCAATCCATAAAAAATTTTAATAGTGCAATCCAGTAATTTTAATAGTGAAGGGCAGAATTTGCCCTGCGAATCTCAAGATGTTCTCCAAGTACCCTCTAATCTCCTTGAAGGCACTCAGCACTTCAAACATGTGCCTTAAATTTAGCAAAGAAAAGAACACCAAATACATCTGCAAAGAGTGAATATACCTTTTGCTCCCATAAAACACACACATGCACACATTTACCTAGAATGCGGTTTTACATGCATATACCCATTGTGTTCAAATTATTTTTATAGGCACCAGTGTGGGCCTTTGTAGACAAAGCAGGTGTATTGTATGTACATTTCTGCAGATGCATCTGTGGTATTCTAGAAATTTGCTAATGAATTTGATCAACTTTACCCTTTATAAAGACTCACATGGTTTGGATTTAATTTCTTTCCTGATAACCTCAATAGTAGTCATTATCTGGTTAAGGGGTTATCAGACAAGACCCATAATTTTCATCTGTCCTGTGGTTTATTGTGGTACAAATGGGCTAGTTATAAGACCTCTAAATTAACTAAAAATTACTAATGGGCCTCGAAATATAATTGTAAATGATGAATCATCAATAGTAGGTCTACGCAATGACCTGGAAGAAAATAAAGTATTACTGATAAAGTTTGTGACTGACGCAAAGTTCTCTAAGTAGTAAATAATGAAACAATGGGTCATGGATATTGAGCACACTGGATTGCTTGGTAAACTGGGCATAAGCAAACAATATACATTTTAATACAGCCAAATCTAAAGTTAGACATCTAGGAACAAAGGACATTGAATGGTGGACTCTTTCCTAGCAAGCAGTGACTGTGAAACAGTTTCTGGGTTATACAGCCTGTACATGGATTATACAGGGGATGCTCTGGCCAAAAGGGCCTAATGTTACTTGGCTATATAAATAGAGAAATACCAGTTAGGAGTAAAGACATTCTATTTCCTCTGTGTTTGACAGCCATGCAACTGCTACTGGAATAGTGTCCAGTTCTTATGTCCATGATTCAAGAAGCATGTTGAAAAACTGGAGTTCAGATAAAAATGGTTAAAGGATTAGGAAACATGCCTTTTATTAAAAGAACTCAATCTATTTAGCTTATCAGAAAAAGGTTAAGATATAATTTGATCATAGTCTATAAGTACCAACATGGAAAATAAAAATTTGGTAACAGAGAGTTCTTTATCCTATGAGACAAAAGTGCAACAAGATCTTGTGACTATAAATTAAAAATGGAAAAATTCAAATTAAGTGAAAATGTTTAACCACTAGAACAATGTACCAGAAGTTCTGATGGAGTCTGGATTGGATGCTTTCCTATAAATATGCTATAGTTCATATGTAGCTGACTTTTGATGACTGATGACTTTTAGGACACATGAACTCTAGTTGGTCCTGTAGCCTGTGTTTTGTAGGTCAGACAAGATGATGTCCTCTCTTGTCCTTGAAATGTATGAAGATTTTTAACTACCAACATGTCATTAAAAATTGCATTACAATAGGCTATGGGATCTATGTCCACCTGCTGCCCATGTCCACCTCCAAGGCAGGAGGTGGACATAGGCAGCAGGGTCACAATGGTGCTGCAGGGGCAAGAGCAAGGGGGCAGGAGCGTCCACAGGGGAACATCTGTTCACTAAAGTGCCCCAAGGGATAACAAGATCGAACGGTCACAAACTCCTCCATGACCGTTTCAGGCTGGACATAACGAAGAACTTCTTCACTGTCCAAACCCCCAAGGTCTGGAAAAGACTGCCATCAGAGGTGGTTCAAGCACCCACTTTGAATGCCTTCAAGAGACATTTGGATGTTTATGTTGCTGGGATCCTATGACCCATGCTGACTTCCTGCCCCTGAGGCAGGGGGCTGGACTCGATGATCTTCCGAGGTCCCATCCAGCCCTAATGTCTACAAATCTATGAAAATCTATTACTAGCCAACAAATGGGTTCTCGACAACAAAACCTTCCTCTTATCTTTCCCTTGATCCCATGGTACTGGTAGCCATCCACACGCACCCAAAACCCCAGCTTTCTGCCAGTGCTAAAGTCAGCAGGTGATGGTGTTTTTGGTGTGGCAGGTGCTAGGATGTGGAGCCAACTCTTGCCTGATATGTGTCTCATCTAATTATACACCATTTTTGAAAAACATGTTAAAGTCACTTCTTTAACTGAACGTGTTTTTAATGTGATCATTGCTTCTTATTATTTTACACCTTTTTGCTTATAAAAAGTCTCTTAAATTGGCTTATTGTTGTGTTCATTATTATTTTTTTGACCACTTTTTTTGATAACAGAAATGGGGAAACGTAGTTATTTTATTTTTATTACTGGAAAGGGCCTATAAGGAGATTGAACTAAAATACTCAAGTGCATGCCTTGGAATAGCAGTGTCAAACTGATAAGTAATAAGAACAAACCTCTTATGATTTGAAACAAGTACAAATCATTTAACCTCATTATAAGAAGTGTGAAGGTGTTCTCAATGTATGATCATTACCCCCATTGTTTCTTCACAGACCGTATTTGATTTTATTGCCCCATTGAGTTGAGTGACTGTTTATTTATTTGTTTGGAACTTGATGGTGACTCAGAAATTGCTGCAACCTTTAAAGAATTCTTGATGGAGCTCAGTTCCCACATATGCAAGTTCATGATGTGCATACCACAGCATCGCCTTGTAATCTTGTAGAGGTTTTTAAGTACAGCTTTCCTTAGAAGAATATATACCCAAGGATCTAATATTTGATTCCACGTTGCCATTCGAAGAGCGAAAAGTATTGTTTCACATGTCTCCAGTGAGCGATTTTCATTTATACCGATATTGGCCATTGTCACCTGGAAAACAGAATATTTTTTCAGAATGCATCAAAAAAGCAGGCTGACAAGCACACAAATGACTGAAATGATTCTTTCAAACAAATCTCTAATTTTGCCACCTTTACAAAGTATCAATGTCTTATTAATGATCCTCCCACTGAATAACAGTTAACAACAATGTGATACTTTGCATGACTTTTTTATCCTGAGAAATCCCAATTAAGAAGAAAACACTGTATATGTTTAATTGATGAAATGCTACCATTTCTGGGATGAAAGCTGACAAGTAGCTGACCTACATTACAGAATGGGGAAGAGATAAAGAAAGGAGTAAATTTATTTATTCGGAGTAAATTTATTTATTATCAAATAATAGTAGAGCAGACCCATAATTTTATGGAATATGCCAGTGATCCTTTAGATCAAGACTATATATGGGCCGTTGTCACCTGAGAAACAAAACATTTTTAAACATGTAACTGCTAATGTTAGAAGCATAAAATGACATTTTAGGTAGAAGTACAAACTACTAATTCTATCAACTTACAAAGCACTATCGGGTATTAGTCCCAAAGTCTATAAAGTATTTTTCTAATATACTTATAAAAAGTAATTAAGAAACAGAATACTTTATTAATGATGATGTGACTACATTGATTTATTAGATGGTGAAAGGCAGGGTCAGTCTGTTCAAGTACAGAGATTGCTTATTTACACAAAGAGATTGTAAAACAGAACAATAAAAGGAGACTACTGTTCAAGAATCCAAACATTTTTACTGTTTTAAACCACATTTAGCATTTGTAGCTGGGGCCACAATTACAGCTGCATCTGACTATAATTACAGAGCAGATGAGAGAAAGAATGCGAAGTGAGAGTGTATCTGCTTGTATGAGCATTTTTTATGGGCATCTGTGAAAGCGAACTAGACAGCCCACATAAACTGTCTGAAAGAAATTGGTAAAACAGCAGAAGGATGGCTGGGAACTAATAAAAGAACAGAAAAGGTCTGAGTGCCATGCCAACATAAACGGTATGAAGCCCATTTCCCAGAACCCTCTTTTCACTCTACAACTATTGGGTGCATTCCTCTCTGACAACAACAGTCCACTCACACTTGGATGACTCCCATGGTTTCTGCACGGGATCTTTTCTCAGGAAGGTCTTACATATTATCAATTACAGGCCCAATTGCATAAACTTCAGTCACACCAAATACCTCTTACTCATCAAGCAACTAGTCCCATAAAAGCAGTCTACTGAATAAGTGCTCTTCAGGGACGATAAAGGAAGCAGGGCTGGACCTAGAACAACAATACTAAGAAACAGAAAATGACACGAGACACAAACAGATATTTCATATATATGAGTCTAAACTAATTCTACCTTAGTTTAATATAGACATATGGTTTCCTAAAATTTCTTGCCATCCCATGTCCATATAGAGAAAAAACTCCATCACTTACTGTTTGCAAACAACAATTTTAACCATCCAAAACTAATTAGTACTCTGTATATTCCAAGGGAACTAGATACCTTTCTGAGAAGCAGTATTTCTCTGTTCTGATTTTTTTTCAGTTATGTAGTATATTTATGCCCAGCCATATCATGTATTTCAGAATATGAATCTGTAAATTTTCTATGATTCTTCTCCTGCAGGTGCATGCAGGAGCTTGTCACTGCCAGAAACAACATTTGCAGCTGCTCATGACCCCTGAGAGCCACAAAGGTGTCGCTGCCGTGCACTGCAGCGGGGGGGTCGGGACCTTAGAAGCTGTCAGGCGGGTACTTGTGATGCTTGGAGTAGAATTAATTAGGCGGACGCTTATCGGTTGCAAAGCAAGATTATTTACTCACGCCGTCAAGGTGGTGAAAGACGGAGGTTAGAAATACTTGGTTAGTTACAGCTTATAGGTCGTAGGTCAGTCTGCATAAGAGTTCGGTGGTCGGGCAGAAAAAAGGTCGGGCCGGCAGGTCGTTGATTTACATCTGAGATTGGGTCGAGACGCGGGGAACTGACAAGTGATCAAATTGCAGTTACTCTTACGCATACGTTCAGAGGTCTCCAGGTTGCGTGTGCGGAGGTCTCCCTTCTTCTTCTTCTTTGCAGAAGTGTATTGGGGTTTTATTTGTGTAATAGCCAATTGCTTTTCGCCACATCATAAATTTAATTAGAATCGCCAATTATCTAGCGGTCTTCGCTAGGGTGTTATCATAGGGTTACTCCTTGTTTTTTTTGACCAATTATAATGATTTATGTACAGCACAGAAGGCTAAGTTTTATCTCTGTTAGTGGCGCAGCAATAAAATTTTTTTTGACATGCACAGCAAAAAGGCGGTTACTGGCAAAAACTTTTGTTAACCCTTAGTTAACTTAGTGTAAAACAAAACTGCTTTGAATGGTTTTATTTGCTTGTGACATGGGCACTACTTAATTTGGTTGTGACAAAAGGGAGTCTGGTGTGTGTGGGGAAGGGTCAGGCAAGCTCGGGGGCAAGAGGGCTAGCAGGTCTGTGGAGGGTTTGACAAATCTGGGGGGCAGGGTCTGGTGGGTCCACAGTGGGGACCAGGGCTAAGAGTAGCCCAGTCACGTTTTGGGGTAGGAATAGCACAGCCCTGGATCTGGAGCAAGTGGCTGGACTTTCCAGCCACAGCACTACACTGTAAACTCATGCAGACAGTCTGGACATTGGGTTAACCCTTTCTTAAATTGGATTAACCTGATCGCAATCTAAGTTAGTGCACCAACTCAGATGGACTAATTTAGATTGGATGCACCATTTGGGTGCACCCAGATAAGTGCAGTTGTGCCGTTTTTGGCGCTGCAAACATATTTGCAGCGCCACATACCACACAGTCCAGTGTTCTCTGTGCTGCAAGGGCATGCTGCCCAAACGTGTGCTGCACTGGGTCTTTTTCCACAGATTTGTTTGATCCAAATGTTTCTTAAAAGAGTCCAGAGTAGGTGCTTGTACCACCTCTGGAGGCAGTCTATTCCAGGCCTTGGGGGCTTGGGCAGTAAAGACATTTTTTCTTATGTCCAGTCTAAAATGGTCTTGAAGGAGTTTGTAATCATTTGAACTGGTCATCCCAGATCCTGATTCACACCCCTGATGTACTTATAGGCTGCCACCAGGTCCCCCCTGAGCCTGCGCTTTTCCAGGCTAAAGAGTCCCATGGCTCTCAGCCTTTCATCATAAGGCCTGTGCTCCTGCCCTCTGATCATGCGCGTGACTCTCCTCTGGACTCTCTCAAACTTTTCCACATCCTTTTTAAATTGTGGAGCCCAGAATTGGATTCAGTACTCCAGCTGCAGCCTCACCAAAGCCGAGTACAGCAGGAGGATGACATCCTGGGATTTGCTTGAGAAGCATCTATGGATGCAAGCCATAGTTTTGCTCGCTTTACCAGCTGCAACATATCATTGGTGGATCATATTCATCTTGTGGCCAATGATGACCCCCAAGTCCCTTTTGGCCATGGTGCTAGCAAGTGTAGCACTGCCGAGCCTATAAGCGTGCTGCGGGGATTTTTTCCCCCAAGGTGAAGAACTTTGCATTTTTCGGTGTTGAACACCATCAAGTTTTCATCCACCCATTTTCTGAGCCTGTCAAAGTCAGCTTGGATCACCAGCCTATCCTCAGGTGTGGATGCTTTAACCCAGAGTTTGGTGTCATCGGCAAACTTGGCCAGTCTGCTTCTGACACCAATGTCTACATCATTAATAAAGATGTTAAAGAGTATAGGCCCAAGCATGGAGCCTTGGGGGACTCCACTGGTCACGGCACACCACAATGATTTACTTCCATCTATTACCACTCTCTGGGTCCTACCTCAGAGCCCGTTCCCCAGCCATCGGACTGTGATGTAGCCAAGGCTGCAGTTGGTCAATTTCTCCATGAGGAGATCATGGGACACCAGATCAAAGGCTTTTTTTAAGTCAAGATATATGATGTCAATCTCTTCTCCCTTGTCCAGGTGATATGTCACCTGGTCATGGAAGGAGAGGAGATTGGTCAGGCAAGACCTACCTGCAACAAACCTGTACTGGCCGTCACTCAGGATGTTGCCATCAGCTAGTTTGTCGAGAATGGTCTCTTTGATAATTTTTTCCAAGATCTTCCCCAGGATAGAGGTCAGGCTGATAGGCCTGTAGCTCCCCAGATCTACTTTCCTCCCTTTTTTGAAGATAGGCACCACATTGGCCTTCTTCAGGCACTTCACCTGAGCACCACGAGTTCTCAAAGATCCATGCCAGTGGCTGAGCTATGATGCCTGCCAGCTCCTTAAGTACCCTAGGGTGTAAACTGTCTGGGCCAGCTGACTTGAAGGTGTCCAGCCTCTAAAGATGTTTCTTTACATGGTCTACAGTGATGTAGGACAGCAATTCTCCTTCACCCTGGCTATCCTGTACCGTGTTGAGCAGGGCGGTCCCTTGGGGCTGGTAAAAATCATATCATTTAAATAGTTTCTACCTAGAATGCCTGTTGGTGTTCAATAGAATGAGAAAATCTAGCATGGGGAAAATACCTTCTGATGATCTGCTCTAAGATTTAGGGGTAGACCAATAAAGATTTTCTTGGCCAATACTGATAGCCAATTATTAACCAGGCATATCAGCTGATACCAACTGAATAACCAATTTACAGGAATGCAGCCAGGCAGTATGGAGATCAGCTCCCTGCAGGTAAGTCTGTGGAGGGGAAGGGACATGGGGGAGGGGGAGAGCAAGGCCCCCACATTGAGGGAGGTAGTGGGGTAGGGGCAGGGACTGGGGATGCTGCCCAGCCAGGGCAGTGAATGGGACCTGAGGCTGAGGCAGGGAGCAGGACAGAGCCACGGGCAGCTTGTCCAGGGAATTAGTGTACCAGCATTTAAAAATGGTGGCAGGAGTGCTTGAACTAATGCTCATTGAATGAGCTTTAGTTCAAGTGCTGCCATCACCATTTTTAAGTGTGGGGATATTATTAACTGGAGATGAGCTGAGCAGGGCAAGGGCAGATGCGGGTTGTCCACTG